CACCTACTATGAATGTGGGTAGTGTTCTGATCTGGGTCTTGGCCTTAATATAAAGGAGAAAGTAAGCTGAGCACCAACATTCATCTGTGTCTCCTTCATGACTATGAACTTCATGTGACCACCTGCCTCAAGTTCCTGCCAATATGTGTACCTCATGTGATGCCACCTGTTTCCTGCCATGATGTACCATATCTATTTGAACTATTAGCTGGAATAAACTCTTTATCCTTTAAGTTGCTTATTGTCACATGTTTGACCACAGCAAAAAATAATACAAACAAGCATGTGTAGCAATGAATGTTCAGGCTCTATCATTCTCTAAAGCAAAGGAAGTTCCTCCTATTCCTATCAGTTGTATGTGGTGTTAGCTCCCTGGTTATCATCAAAATTCCTAGGACTCATTTCACTTGAACTGCAGGTTTGAAATCTGTAAGTGAAGGTGCCTTTTTAGATCCTCAATTGCATTGCATTTGTCTCTTCTGATCTCCTAAGCACCACTCCTTCTACAAATCTTCAAATTTTGGGTCCAGTGTAATGCTAGAGAAAATTTGTTAATACATGCAATGACAATAATATCAGCTCAAGCAGAAAAGGAAAATTACTACGAGCTCTTAGTATCTGTGTGGAATATTTGTGACTTTACTTATTTCACAGTAAATGCAGGCATAGTTGGCACAGTCATTCATACACTGGGATGTGTTCCTTCTTAAGTGTTTCAGAAAACCAAAGAGGCAAATTGATACATGGGATAATGTGTGGTTGTTTGTACATTAAAACAGTGGCTTTCAAAGAAATGGAAGCAGCACAGGTGACAGCAACTGAATACAAGCTGTACTTTGGATTCTCTCCCATAATCACAACCAACATGACATACAGACTTGAGTCTGACTTACTTTGAGAGGAGGTATGTATGTATGCCTTTTAAGTGGAGGCATAAAGGCAACCTTGTGCAGAATTGAGGAGGCATGAATAAGCATTTGGCCTTTTTAAAAAAATGGTACATAGTGTTTCTTGATGAATATCCCCTTTAATCATCCATCCACTGTGGGAGTATTTTCTAAAGAGAGAAAAACATCTACATAATCACAGCCAGTGACTCATGGGGGAACATACTCAGGCAGTCTTATTGCTAAGACTATACATTGCCACCACCCCAACCCCTCCCTCCAACATTACACCAACATCATCAATCTCATACATTATTCAATCACTTAAACCCCCTAAATCAACCAACTCAGCTTCATCATAAAAATCAAGCATATAAACCAAAAACAGCTCCATTAAAAACCCCATCATTAAAAAACTAAAAATTAACCAATTAGAGCCCCAACTCTCAGGGTACTCCTCAGTAGCTATAGCAGTCATATAACCAAACACAACCAACATCCCCCCAAATAAATTAAAAACACTATTAACCCTAAAAACGAACCCCCAACCCCTAAAACCATTAAGCAACCAACAAAACCACTGACAACTAAACCAAGCCCCCCATAAATAGGTGAGGGCTTCAATGCCAGCCCAAGACACCCAGTCAAAAATAATAAACTTAAAACATAGATATAATTTATCATTATTTCCACACAGCACTTAATCGTGACCTATGACATGAAAAATCATCATTGAAATTCAACTATAGAAACTTAATGACAAATACCCGAAAAACACACCCCCTACTTAAAATTATCAACCACTCATTCATTGACCTACCTGCCCATCCAATATCTCATCATGATGAAACTTTGGCTGCCTACTAGGAATCTGCTTAATAGTACAAATTATTACAGGCCTATTTCTAGCTATACACTACACATCAGACACAATAACCGCATTCTCATCAGTAACCCATGTCTGCCGAGACATAAACTACGGATGATTTATCCGATACACACATGCAAACGGAGCCTCAATATTCTTCAGCTGCCTATTCCTACATGTAAGGTGTGGTATATATTATGGATCCTACACATTCCTAGAAACATGAAACATCGGAGTACTCCTATTATTTACAGTCATAGCCACCATATTTATAGGATATGTGCTTCCATGAGGACAAATATCATTCTGAGGGGCCACAGTAATCACTAATCTACTTTCAGCTATCCCATACATCGGAACAACCCTAGTAGAATGAATCTGAGGTGGCTTCTCAGTAGATAAAACTACCCTCATTCGCTTTTTCGCATTCCACTTTATCCTACCCTTCATCATTGCAGCTCTTGCAATCGTCCATTTATTATTCCTACACGAAACTGGCTCAAACAACCCCACAGGATTAAACTCAGACTCAGACAAAATTCCATTCCACCCATATTATACCATTAAAGATATTTTAGGGGCCCTAATAATAATACTACTATTAACAATTCTAGTATTATTCTTCCACAACTTACGAGGAGACCCTGACAACTATACACCAGCCAACCCACTTCACCCCACCTCACATTAAACCAGAATGATACTTTCTATTTGCCTATGCCATCCTATGGTCTATCCCCAACTAACTAGGAGATGTACTAGCCCTAATCATATCAATCCTAATCCTAGCCCTCCTCCTGTTCCTTCACACCTCAAAACAATGCAGCCTAATCTTCCGCCCAATTACCCAAACCTTATCCTGAGTTCTAGTAGCAAATTTACTTATCCTAACGTGAATTGGAGGCCAACCCGTAGAACACCCATATATTATTATTGGACAACTAGCCTCCATCAGCTACTTCACTATTATCCTAATCTTAATACCAATCTCAGGCATTATCAAAGACAACCTACTAAAATGAAGCCTATGCCCTGATAGTATAAACATTACTTTGGTCTTGTAAACCAAAAATAAGGAACAAATCCTTTCAAGGCATCAAGAAGAAGGAGCATCTCCCCACCATCAACACCCAAGGCTGATATTCTAATTAAACTACTTCTTGCGTACATAAAGTTATCTAGTACAATAAAACATTTATGTATATTGTAGTCTTATTGCTAAGTGAATAGTGAATGATTATAAATGCACAAGTGTTGCTGGAAATTCAATTTGGTCTGGTTATTTGTTTCCATGAACATACAACTGTCACAATCAAACGTAGTTGAGACCTGGATGTGTTTTGTGTGTATGCTTTATGGATATGTGGAAGTATATGTCATAGTTCAGACCTGGATGTGTTTTGTGTATATGCTTTATGGATGTGTGGAAGTATATGTGTGTGTATGCCTGTGCATATGGAGGCCAGAAGTCACCATAAACTCTCTGCCTATATTCCTTTTCACCTTAAATTTTCAGAAAAGATTTCTCATTGAACCCGGAGTTCATCAATTTAGTTAAATGACTGCCTGTTCAGTAAGCACTCAAAACACTTCTGTATCTACCTGCTACTTCTGGGATTACAAGTGCATACTGCTATATTCACTTGTATATTTGAGTCCTCAGGAAGTGAATTCAGATCAGTATTCTTGCATAGCAAGTGCCTTATCTACTGAACCCAAGGCTTGTTGGGTTTCCACCCAGGGTCCAAGTGTCAGAGGGAGACACATTGCAGATCAGGAAGCCAGAAGTCTAACCCACTTCTAGAAAGTGGTGCTATGGGTTAGACTTCTGGCTTCCTGACCTGCAACAAGTGTCTCCTTCTGACACCTGGACTCTGGGTGGAAACTGAATTCAGGCAGCTGCCTTGGAGCATGCTCCCCTCAGGAGACCTGGCTAGTTTCTATCAGTGGTATTGGCTTGAGAAGAAACTCAGAGAAATTGAGACTTATGGAAAAGCTGCTGTTCAATAGCTTTGGAAGGAGACATCTGCAGGGGATGTGATCTGTGGCACTGTTGCATGAAATTAGCAGAGGGACACTGGAGACTTGTAGGAGTGAGTTAGTACAAATGAACACATGACATGTTTGGATGTAGAGTTTGTCAGTTATCTAAACAACAGATGACTTTCACAAAAGTTAAAGTTCAAACAGTAGCCTATCCTTTCTTCTACACTCCTCTATAGAACAGGCCAATATGTGGGGCTGAACTTATAAATATTTTCATTAATTAAGCATAACTTTCTGATGTGGAATGTATTTTCCAGATCTTAAATATACAGGGGTTCATTTCAAACCCATTTATGCAAATAGTAACTGGTTTGCCCAGTTCCCTACTTTAGTCCAAACCACCTGGTTCTCTCTCTCTCTCTTTCTTTCTTTCTTCCTTTCTTTCTTTCTTTCTTTCTTTCTTTCTTTCTTTCTTTCTTTCTTTCTTTCTTTTCTTTCTTCCTTTTTCATTCTTTTTGTCTCTTGTAGCCCAAGCTAGTGGCCTCAAGGTCATTAAGTACCCAAGGGTGACTCTAACCTTCTCCTGCCTCTCCTGAAGGCTGAGAACAGGTGTGTAATGCCATGCCTAGTTTATATGTTGCTGGAGATTTATTATGGGCTTTGTGTATTCTAGGCAAGCTCCCAACCACCTGAGCTACATCCTCAACTAGTGTAAGACACTCTTAATATTCCTCAAAGTTCAGATTTCTCCTGCACACTTCTCTCTCTCTCTCTCTCTCTCTCTCTCTCTCTCTCTCTCTCTCTCTGTTTCTCTCTGTTTCTCTCTGTCTCTCTTTGTCTCTCACCATTCTTCTTCAGGAGCCAGGCTCAATCTCTCTTTATCCCATTCAGTACTGTAACAGTATTTTCCTATACGTGTTGCTTTTAATGTTATTCCAGAGTTTGGAACAGAGTTGACTCACCATATGGCTTTCCTCAGGGAGTTAATGTAATTATTTTTATATCTTTGGTTCCCTAGAATATGTTAACTTTTTCTTGTCCTGCTTCCTAGAGTCTCAGACAGCCTTTAAAGATAACATTGGGATCTTAAAAACCTGAACAGAAAAAGTTGATCTGAGCAATGCTGACATATTAAGATTGTGAAGCTGAGTGTGGAATAATTCTGAAATTAAGATCAGCACTGTGTGGTTGTTTATACAAACTAACATTGCAAAATAGAAAATGGCTTTTATATGTTTGCTTTTTTTGTTGTTTTTCAGGGCAATGTCACTTTTTCCTGCTCAGAACCACAAATTGTTCCCATCACATTTGTCAACTCTAGGAGCAGTTATTTGCTGCTGCCTGGTACCCCCCAAATTGATGGTCTGTCAGTGAGTTTCCAGTTTCGAACATGGAATGAGGATGGTCTGCTTTTGTCCACAGAGCTTTCTGAAGGCTCAGGGACCCTGCTGCTCATCCTCGAGGGCGGGACTCTGAGGCTCCTGATTAAGAAAGAGGCAGGACATGGAACTGAAATCCTCACAGGTACAAATTCTGCTGTCTTCTTTGTAATCACTCCTCTCCTCCCCTCCCCTCCCCTCCCCTCCACTCCCCTCCCCTTCCCCCTCTCCCTTCCTCTCCTCTCCTCTCCTCTCATCTTCTTTTCTTCCTTGCCTGCCTTATTGTCTCCTCACTCTCTTTCTGCTCCACTCCCAAGCCCTCCTTTTCCCCTTTCCTTTGTTTATAAAGGATTCTTCATTTAAGTCAACCAAGGTTGAGATTCTCCATAAAACATGCCAAGTCATACACAGGGATGAAGGGTGGATGAGTGGTGGAAAATATGCTATAAATGTGAAGAAACTTGCCATCCCTCACATGCAGTGATTAGACAACAAAAACAGTTAAGTCTGAATTAACCATGTGTATTTCAACACGTCTCACATTGCTTCACTGTAGGATAATCAGAAAAGTGGGAGTTAGATTTTTCATCCAGGGGTATTTAGCACATTCTATTCCATCTGTAGAGTGGCCTGATTACTTCTACATAGAGATCTCTCACATCATGGGTCATCTTTACCTTGGTTGCCCCAAGAAAAGGCTGTTTTTTAAACTTTCCACATTAGAAAATGAAGGGTTACAGAAATGTTTACACAGTCACAAGTTCCAAAATGAGAGAGCTGAAAATTCACTTAGAATTTTTCTGGCTTCAATGTCATATTTCTACCATATAATAGGATTTTATAGTCCCTACGCTCTATTTTATTAATTGGTGTGCTTTAATAATTATATTTCTTAAGTACATTTTAAAGGTACTAAGGATATACTGTTATATGTGGCTTTGAGATGTGATAAAACGTTTATAAATTGTCCTAAGTTGACTGAAGTCTGGGAAGCAATCTTGTGAGTGTGTGTCTATACCTGTGTTTATATCTATATATATGTGTCTGTATCTGTGTGTGTGTATGATGTATGCTGTCTATATTTCATTTCTGTGGATATATGCAAACTGAAGCCAAAAAAGGACATTTTAGGTGTAATTACAGGTAGTTGTGAGATATATCACATGGGTGCTAGGAACTGAATTTTGAGCCCTCTGGAAAAAAAGCAAGTTTTCCACATCACTATACTGTCTGTGGAGCCTCCAAGCTGGATTTCTTAAATTTGGAAGAGTAGAAATTTTCCCCACTTTCTCCATTGGCTCCATTGGCTAGCTTGTGGATATCTCCTGTTCATCAAGTAGCATTATGTTTTCTTAGATGACAAGTACTGAATGTGGTTGGGCAATATTTCTCAGCTTGGGATGAGGTATGTAGATCAGTCAACAAATCCTGTGAGAAGGCTGAAGATAAATAATCCATCTCAAATCTTTTACTGCAGTGCAGTGGACTATCATCCAGTATAGATTTTACTACAATGCATTACGCTCTGTTTACATGACTTTCTTCTCCCACTGCTACATGAAATTTATTACTCAAATAAACTAGATAAAATTAAGTTAATATTAATGAATATGATATAATTATCATATTCACAATCTGGTTATTCCATGGAAAAGACACACACACACACACACACACACACACACATACATATACATTAGAGCAGCATCATGGCTGAAAGTCATTTCATGTCTCATTCTATTACTCTCCATGTTATTACTTTGAGACAGGACCTCTCACTGGAACTTCATTGAAGAATTTATTTCAGCTCACAGTTTGAGTGCACAGTACTGTTGACAAGAGCTGGTTAGTCATGTCGCATCTGCAGTCCAGAAACATAGAAAGATGAATGTTTTGCTCACTTTTGCCATTTATTCAATTCAGAAATCAGCCAGTGGAATGGTACCACCCACATTGAGATTCAGTCTTCTGACCTCAATTAACCCAGTGTGAAAACTCTTTCACAGACATGACCTGAGCTAATTCTAATTCTGTCAAATTTTCAGTCAGTAATAACTGTGACAATACTCAAAATATTAGCCATAGACTTTTTGTAACCTAATTTTGCCCATGCCAACCTATTACTTCTGCCATATTCTGTTCATTAGATGCTAAGAAACAAGACTCACTCGTGCTTAAGTGTATTAATTCGACAATCTTGTCTCAATAAAGAGGTGTAAGTCATCGGAGAGCAGCTGAGAGTCTATTACAGGAACAACAGAGGAAAATATTATTTTCCAAGCTTTAGAGAAAGATCAGTCAGAAAAGTGTTTCTATTTAAAACACAGGGATTTGAGTTTGATCCCAAGACACTATAAAAAGCTGGCCACAGTGTCATACACTTAAGCCCAGCCTGATGAGGTTGGGGACAGGTGAATCCTTGAACCTTGCTGGCCAGTTAGGCTAGCTTAATCAGTACATGCTAGGCCAGTGAGAGATCTTGTCTCAGAGGAGTCAGACTGTGTTACTTTAGGATAACCCCTAAGGCTGACTTCTGGTTTCCACGTGTGTGCTCAAATGTGCCTTCTCTCACATATACACACATAGTAACAACCATAAAATTTATTTCTAAATCTATGACAGCCATCAATAAGAAAAAAAATCTTAAGCATTTAGCATAATGTTCAGAAGCTGATTGATAAATGCCCATTCCCCCCATACTGCGTCCAGACTTCTAGCTAGAAGTACCTCATTCCATAGGGTTGTAAAAGCTATGCACAGATCAATGCACTCAGCAGAGATTAGTGCTAATAGAGGTAAGTTAATCACCTTGAGTGATAATATTTTTCATGTTCACAGGTATAAAATTTAAATCATGATGCTCATTATTTGGAGACTATAAATTTGAGTTGGCATTGAGCTGTCTCTCACTAATTGGTAAGATGTTTAAACACAGAAATTTGTGGACTTGGGGCACAAATGAAGTTTTACTATATGATACAGACCCTGGTAGTGCTCAGTTCTGAAGAACCTGGGAGCTGCTACTCATATTAAGAGCATGCCATTCTATTAACACACACTTTCTATTGAGATAGGCTGGTGAGGAGTACTAGGTTACCCACTTACAAGGGAAAAATTATATCACTTCAACGTATCTTTCAAATGATGTACCAAGTGGAGGAAAGTTAAGTGATAGGCTGACCTGGTGATGCTGAATCAGAAGGCCAGCCTTTTTTAAGAGGAAAAGAAGATTTTCCTACATTTCAGAAAACTTGAATCTCTTAATGCATATCTCAAATGGACTAAATATTTCTTTTTTCCTCACATTTTCTATCCAAAAAGGGTCAGTGGGGTAAAAAAGCCAAAACAAACACTAGAGATTTTTCTTGCTTTAAATGTCTAAACAGACTTATTTTGAAAATAATTGAGATACTATTAATTATCTATAAATAATTACATGTAAATAAATTAGTATTTATACACAAATAAATGACAATTGTCTCAGTAACCTGTGTGTATGTGTACATGTAGGATGTACATGTGTATGCTTATATATTCCATGTTTACATGTGCCTTTACATATGCACAGAGGTCAAAGATGGATGTAGGACACCTGCTTTATCATTCTCGGCTTTATTACTTCAACAGAGGATCTCTCAGTAAAGCTGGAACTAAGTTGGCATCCACAAATACCTAGGGTCCTTTTGGGTCCACCTTTCATATACTTGAGGTTACAGATCCCCATGTGGCCATGTGTGACCTTTGATGTACTCCAGAATCATATCAGGTCCTCATGCTTACTCAGCTTTCTTATCTAGTAAGTCATCTCTTCAGAAAGCTTTAAGGGCCAGCAAGTCTCCCCGTAACACATGTTGTGTCTTGGAAAGCAGAGTATAACATCATTTATTGATTGCTCAGAGTATCCAGAGAGCTACCAGTGTCTTTTATTGCCAATTGTTTTTCTCAGTGGGTCAATCTCGAGTTAGGTGGACTTCATATAAGATGGTATGAGAATTTACTATGTTTTTACATACATCTAATCTGCATTCACTGAGTTTATTTAAGTATCACAATATATGCATATTAGTATATCAATATACATTCAGTGCAGATTTCATACATGGCATGTGTTGTACTAGCATCATATATGTATATGGAATGCAAGGGTGGAAATTAAGTATCTTCTTCTATTGCTATTCACCTTTATATTTGTTTGTTTGTGTGTTTGTTTTTTGAGGAAGGATATCTAATTGAACCTGGAGCTCACTGGTTAGGCTATACTGGCCAGTCAACTCCAGAATTCACCTGTCTCCAGTGCTGGTTTTATAGGCCTAGGCTGCCAAGCTCAGATTTTGCATGTGTTTTGGAACTCTGAACTCAGCCTTCATGTGACGATAGCAAGTACGTTGCCCACTGATCCATCAACAGGTCCTTATAGATTTTTTTATTTCTAATTATTCTTCCGTGGTATTATTATTAATGATGTGGACTAAAGTGACACGAGATCTATCTCAGGAAGGATAAACCTTCTTTCTAAGACTTGGTCTCTTACTACACAGCCCTTTTCATTGCTGACACTTACACCTGTGGCTACATTCAGAAGCTAAGAAACAACATAAGTACCAAGAACACATTCAAAGCATCACAGACCAGAGTGAACTTGTTTGAGTCTATTTAGGAACTGGAAAGTCCACTTTGGCTAAGCTCATACGAATAAAAAAGACTTGGTCTTCTTATTTTCTGTATTTCTGATTCACTGCCTTTTACTAAGACTCACAGACTGACAGGCACTATAGAGGCACTGAAATCTCAGCACATCTTTCAGGAACACATGTAATTGCCTTTTATCTCTTTTTTCTTCTCTGCTACTCTCACCTCTACCCTCTACTCCTCTATTCTTGCTTTCTTTCTCCATCTTTTCTTCCTTCTACTTCCTACCTCCACCTCTCTACATTCCTTCCTTATTTCCTCCTTTCTTTTGTTCATCCTCTATAACCTCCCCTTCCCTCTTCTTTATCCCTTCCCTCTGTTCTTTCTATTTCTTTCTTTCTTAATATCATTCTGTTTTTCAAGATGATATTTTGTGTTAAAGCCCAGCTAGACTTGAATTATGAATTTTCTTACATCATTTCCCCTTGTGTATGTGAGTCCATAATTATGATCTCT